AAGAGAGTGTTGGCATAAAGGAAAAATTGAGATAGAGTAAAATAATGCTAAAGAAAAAATAAAAATAGAATGTAGAACACTAATCCCAAAATAAAAGAAAGAAAAATAAAATAAAACTTTAAAAAAGGTAAAATAATAGTAGTAATAATACTAATTAAAAATGAAAATATAATAATAAAAAAGGCAAAGTCAAGTGAGAAAAAAATTTAGTTTCTTAAGTAAAAGTTAAAAAATAAAAATGTGAAGTAGTGAAGGTCAATAACTTCCTCTACTGTTCTGTTTGGTATGTCTGTTTCCTGTCAGGTAGTCAGGACAGTATTGAAGTTCCCTGCTATCCACCACTCCTCAGTGTCATAAGCCACAACCCTGTTTTCAAGCAGGTGGGATCTCTTTGTTTCTCAGCCTGCCTTTAGTTGTATTTACACAAGAGTCAATTTGTGATTCAACCCCTGGGTGGCAGTGTTTCTGTATTAATATTTGGTGCTAAAAGGCCTCTCTACCCAGTGTTTAGATTGCTTTCCCTGCAGCACTTAATACTGGGTTGGGGAGACAGACTGCCCCAAAGCTGGTTTTCTGTTAGTCTCTCCCCACTCTGATCCCCAGGTTCCACAAAAACAATTTTCCCCTGCAGTCTCTGTGAGTGTTTTTAATTGGAAGATCCTACGTACTGGGCTTAGTAATCAAAAGCAAGGATTTAAAAAGAAAAAAAAGCCAGAGTAAGTGTGAAGACTCACGTCTTTTTCCCCTGGCACTGCAAGTGTCACTGCGCAGCCAGTATACTGGTAGAAGTTCAGGCTGCCTTTCTGGGCCCAGCCTAGCTGTGGGTTGATTTCTAGAGTCCTCTTCTGCCAGAAGCCCCATGGACACCCTTCCACATTTTTGGGCTATACTGACCCCTCCGGCTGCGGATTTTGTGAGGCGCAGTCTTCCTCTGAGACTCTAGATCCCACTGCACACATTTCTCCCTCCAGCCTGGATCCCAGACCACACCTTTCTCTAGGCAAACAGGTGGGCAAATTGCGGCTCGTGAGCCACATGCAGCTCTTTGGCCCCTTGTGTGTGGCCATGAAGTTTCAATCGCACTGTACGTGCTTGCCCGCACGTGGTATTTTGTGGAAGAGCCATACTCAAGGGGCTGCAGTTTGCAGACCACTGCTCTAGGCGATATCTGACCTTTCTGTCTGCCGAATGCCTCACCAGCTGTGTTTAATTTGTCAATTCCAGGTGGGTGTTATTCGATTCAGCTGTTCCTTCTATCTGCTCTGTGAGAAGGCGCAGGGCTCCTCCATATATTCGGCACCACTCTGTCTCCCCGCTTGACAGACTATCCAGGAGCCTGAGGTCTTGGAGGCTGGAGTTCTGGTGGTCGTGGGTTTTCAATTGAGGCAGCTGGTCCCTGGGTGTTGTGGTTGTAGGGTCCTGGGAGATATCCAAGGTCTCCTCAATTGAAGGTAAGGCTGGACTTCCAATCACAGCCACTCTCCCCTTCAAGATGGCATGGTCTCTGTGGCAGAGCCAGCCACTCCAGGAGAGATTTCAACAGTAGTAGAGGCTGCCCGTACCAGGAGAGCCAGGTCCGGCAGTTCCCAGCAGTCCCTTGGAATATAGCTGTCCCTCACTCACAAATACAGACACTCCCCGCATATCCATGCACTCTCCTTTTGTTCTCTCACTCACACACTATCTTGCAGCCTGACATCCCATCAGCTGCCATCTTGGATCTCCTTCCCTTTTTTTTTTTTTTAAAAAAAAAACAACCCTGATGATGCTAGAAATCTGCCCCTGCATCCTGGCTTCTTCCACACAGACAGGATGAAATCACTAAATAGAAATACTTGGGATGGTGGGCTCACAATGCAATATATAGATGATGTACCATAGAATTGTACACTTGAAACCTACATAATTTTATTTACCAATGTCACCCCAACAAATTTAATTAAAAAAAGAAATAACTGTGAAACAAAAGACATAGGATTGATCAACCAGGGGCACAGAGGGTGGTTGTATTGATATAGGCACTTTGAAAGATTATATAAAAATACAAGCTTTGATTATAATATTTTAATTGATAGTTTTCACAAATTCAGGTTACTATGAATTAATGAACAGTATAAATGATAACACTTTAAAAATAACAATATTTTAGTGATTTCATTCTACACAGGAACCAAAAGTGGCCCAAGAAAACTTCCCTTCAGATGCTGTTAGGAGAGTCAGTGAGGCCACTCACTGAGTGAGCCTGGCTGAGAGTGCACAGGCTCACCCTCCAAGAGCCAGCTATCTGGATTTGGATCCAGATGTCCCATTTGTTGTTTAAGGGGCCCTGGAATATGAGGATTTTTTTTAAGCCTTACTTTACTCTGAAGCAAAATGGACTAATCATAGTTTCTATATCCGAGGGTTGTGTCAAAATAGGCAAACCCAGACTTAGACAAGAAGAAACTTGATTCAAAAGGACAGATTCCACAGGAGAATATGCAATCTCAGGCACATGCAGGTGCCTCAGACACAAAGAGAAAAGGGTTTCCTTTTACAGGGAGGGGTGGGCAGATCTCAGTGGCATTGGGCAGCTGGGCAGGAAGGTGCACAATGGCCGGGGTCTGACAGGAAATGCCTCACTGTGGTCAGCCCACTTCCTGGAGAAGCCGAGGAAGGGACACTTCAGTGCTATCTCAGGCTGTGGCCAAGCAGGGGGCCTGTGGGAAGGGTAGAAGCCTCACCAAGGTCAAGAAAGCAGAGGGCAAGACATGGGCAATTGTGAACGCATGGTCAGTTCTGAGAAGTAAGTGAAATGATCCTTGTTATTATAACTCACCAAGTTTTCTGCTTATTAACTAGGAATGCTGGGTTGGTTTGTTGTTGCTGTTGTTTTAATTATAAGAGCTTGAGCTTGATTGTAAAGAGCCAGAGACTAGCTGTTTCTTTCTTTGGAGCAGAATAGTTCAGTGGCATGGCCACAACAATGGTAACACACCATGCAGTGAACATCTGCTATGACCGGGCATGGCTCAGAGGCCCCCAGGGGCTGAGCGATGGAGTCACGGAAAGGGCAGGGCTTGAGAAGTTGTGTATTTAGAGCAGTCATCTAGAGTCACTCCTGAGGTTCTATGTCTTCTTAATGCAGGCGATGACATTCCTGAAACCAGGAGTTCAGAAGAAGCATGTGTGGAGGGACTGGGAATCTTACTTAGAAATGTTGCTTTGAGGGGCCAAGGAGACATTCCAAAGTGGACATTTAGTGGGCAGGGCAGTGGTCTGGGCTGGATATAAAGATACTAGAGGCCTGGTGCGTGAAATTTATGCATGGGGGCCAGAGAATCCATCAGCTCGGCCTGCATCCTCTCACAATCCAGTACCTTTTGGGGGGTGTCTGACTGCCAGTTTAGGCCCAATCCTGCTGTGGATCGGGCCTAAACTGGTAGTTGGACATCCCTCTTGCAATCTGGGACCACTGGCTCCTAACTACTCACCTGCCTGCCTGATCACCTCTAACCACTCGCCTGCCTTCTGATCACCCCTAACTGCCTCTGCCTGCCTGCCTCATTGCCCCAACCACTTGCCTGCCTCATGATCACCCCTAACTGCTCCCTGGGGGGCAGGGCCAGCCTGGGCAAGGGGCCGTGGTGTTCTGCACTTTCCAACCAGGAATGTTTTATTAGGCAGTCTCCAAAAACTTGAACTGGAAAACCTAAACATAGAGTGCTCAGATTTCAGGCATCAGGTGCTATTAGCAGAATTTCTATCCCAATTAAACTCTAATTCTGAGGTCTCAACAGTCTGGACAAACTGCCCTTCACTATCTCCAAAGTTTCTTATTCGTCACTACCCCATTTTCTTCTGCTTCAAACCAAGGTAACAAACAAAACCTTTAGTTCTGATCTTCCTCGTGCAAACCTCAATTGAAATAATTTTCCGCCAGAAGTCACATCCAAATACTGCAAGACTGAGGACTATAGGGCTTACTATGCACATGCGTAATAACAGGCTCACATTCTAGTGGTAGGTGCCCAGGCGTTCTCCACAATTCCACAATCCTCTGGTCGCATACTTCCGGTTTTTCTAGCTCCTCCTTAAGTGGTGTTTCCTTCAGTCACGTTGCAACATTCAGGGCCTGTAGTTGGAGAGGATTTTTCTGTTCTTTGACGTTGATACCTGTTTACTATCTGGAACCAGTGAAGTTTCAGGAGTACTGCTGCTGCCATGAACATGTCGGTCCCAAGTGCACTCATGAAACAACCGCCCATTCAGTCCATTGGTTTGCAATGAGAAAGGTACTGTGCTGAGCCATTTTCCAATCAGATTTTACTCTTCCTTCCCAGCACACTCCAAATCTACTCTGGGCGGACCACCCTAACCCCGCAGACCCTTAAAACCTTCTCCCCTATTTCTGTGACTTTCCCCCATCAAACTCACACCCTATCACATTGCCTAGGGGCACCCCTAACCACTCCCTGGGGGGTGGGGCCGGCCTGGGTGAGGGGCCGTGGTGTTCTGGTCTCTGGTCGTTCTAGTCATTCCACCGTTTCGGTCACTGGCCTTTTATTATATATGACTAGAGGCCCAGTGTACAAAAATTTGTGCACTCATGGGGGGGGGGTCCCTCAGCCCGGCCTGTGCCCTCTTACAGTCTGGGACCCCTCCGGGGATGAACACCTGCTGGTTGAGGCCTGCTCCCCAGGGGATTGGGCCTAAGCTGGCAATCAGACATTCCTCTGGCAGCCCAGCAGCCCTCAGGGGATATCCACTTGCCAGCGGGGAACAGACCTAAGCTGCAGTCAGACATCCTTAGCGCTGCTAAGGAGTCAGGAGAGGCTCCCACCACCACCACTGTACTGTCAGCCATCAGCCTGGCTTGTGGCTGAGCAGAGCTCCTCCATGTGGGAGCTCACAGACCACCAGAGGGGCAGCTCCTGCATTGAGCGTCTGCGCTTTGGTGGTCAGTGTGTGTCATAGTGACCAGTCATTCCCAGTCTTTCTGCTCTTTTTTTTTTTTTAAAAAAAAATGTTATCAATCTTTTATTTAACTAAGCATTGCCCTTCATTTTGAAGGAAATGATACAATTTCAAATTAGAACTTCCTTCTCAAGAAGTGGTATGAGAACATAACATAGAGTTAACATACAACCTTCAACAAAATTAAAGTTTACACAGTTCACTGAGAAATAAAACACATGTGGAAATTATCGTGTTCATCAGTGGAATTCTCCATGGATTACAAGTATATTGAAGAACAAAACAACACAATGAGAAGTTTAGTTACCCTGATTTTTAAAAATCATAAATAAAATATAACTTTTCAGACTAATCCATTCAATGACCATGATCATACTGGATTTTATTTCAATTTATTGGTATAAAAAATGGTTAGACAATCACATAATATCAAGAGTCTTCAACACAGTGGATTCCATTTTGTTAAGAAAAAAATAGGAAACAAGTAATCCTTAAATTTTCTTCACTCTCCATAGCATATGTCGTATAAAATTAAAGTTTTGCTTCCAAAAATATGTTTCCATGTGGTTGTTGTGTTGTCTAGTGGTGCTATTAGGGTCAGAAGCACCAACGACATGAGACGTTTAACCACTGAAGGATCTTTTTTCATAAAATTTCCTTACAGGTCTGGAGGAAAATCTTCTGCTAGGCATTTTAGTGCTATAGTTACTTTAAATTAAATGTGAAATAAAAGCTACAAAAAGTTGAGTTCTTGCAGTACAAAAAGTTGTGTGGCTGAAGTTGTGGGCTCCTCGGACATACATAAGCAGTCCCATAAAATAGCTGCTCAAGTAAGAAAATAGAATTTGTCTGATCACACTTATCATATGCTCCACTCGGATGTCCTGCTCATCCCTGCCAGAGCCTCTGAAAAACCTTAGAATCAGTATTTCTTTCCTTCAAACAGCATCTGTAATTCAAAATACAAAATAGTTCCAAAGTCTTAATCCTAAGGAGAAACAAAAATTATTGAAAAAAAAATATGTATATATACATATATATGTTTTGTTTTATTGTAAGTGCCAGATGTAGCCACTGCCTAGGATTAAAAACTCACCCACAACACTGCCATGCTGAAGAAGAGCTGAGAGCTGGTTCCTTTCTCCTTTCTTGGCACCTTCGCTGGTTGGTTGCTGCTCTACTTGAAGCTGTATAAGCCTACAAACACTTCCGAAGGCATCACAGTTCCTAAGTATTACATATTTCACATCTCTGGTACCCTGTACAAAATGCTTGCTTGACATGGGAAAGCAGCAAGTGGAGTAGATCTATTTCCTCCTGTTATCAAAAACCTGTTTGCTAGAGGCAGAATGTGATCACTGGTGTAGGTCTTACAGTTCTTCATCACGTTGAAACTTCTCACAAAAAGCAGTTTGTTTGCAACAACAGATAGTCGCTGCTATGCCTCAATGGGACCAATGACATTCACTTTCCATTTGAGAGCAAAAGAGGGAGACGGAGATGGGGGAGTGGAAAAGAGAGTGTTGCCCGTTCCTCCTTTCTGCTGCCTGCACGTTAGTCATTCCTTCCAACTATCACTGCTGTGCTAAACATAAAAGAAAATCCAAATCTGTTAGGTAGAGTAGCTCTCCTCAATGCCTGTACCCATGTTTCTCTTGCTCTGCTTTTCCATGAGCAAGACAACATAAACACTAAGTGGTGAGACTTACTAAACATGGAAACTAGACTGACATTCCCAACAGGAGACATATGGGTCTCCAAAGATGCAGACTGGGGTCGAGTGTGGCTCATCTTTAACAATGTGATAGGACCTGTCTGGAGATCCCTGCAAAAGCCGGGAACATGGCTAATGCCCTTGTAGTGAAATGGCGTCATGTGGAAGTGCTATGAAGTCTTAAAAATTATGGCCTCAAATGCCAAGTCTGAAAAAGTAAACAAGGATATCCTTCAAGTCTTGTTGCCTTGATTTAGAGATCTCCAGGCAGGAGGCCCAAGGATGACCACACTGTAGAGACTCAAATATGATTCTACTCCAACCATGAGAATTAGGTCGTGAAATGACATGTTCACTGTAATCTCTAATGACTCCCAACAGGAAGAAAAACTTTACTCAGCCAAAACCGGTTTGGCTCAGTGGATAAAGCGTCGGCCTGCAGACTCAAGGGAACTGGGCTCGATTCTGGTCAAGGGCACGCACCTGGGTTGAGGGCACATCCCCAGTGGGAGATGTGCAGGAGGCAGCTGACTGATGTCTCTAACTTTCTATCTCTCTCCCTTCCTCTCTGTGAAAAATCAATAAGATATATTTTTAAAAAAAAAGAAAAAGAAAAACTTTACTCAACTTTTGAGACAGTGTTAGCAATGTCATTGTGCAGCAGAGCTGCATTCTGAAGTGCAGGGCACACATCATTAAAGAGCTCACATGAATACAAGGAGCAGGTTGTAAAAAATGTTTAAAGCCTCATAATAAAGCAAACTATAGCTCAGCAGGAGATCCAACTGGTATTAGGCAGCCTGTTGCCAACAGATCCCACAATTAGGAACCAGTGCTTTAGGAGTGTTGCCAGATTTGGCACTGACCTCACCTCCTGGCATTTGTGACTGCCCTCAGCTATCTGGGGAAAGCATTCTGAAGGGTGTCCTCAAGCACCAAGGAGACTGCTTCCATATAACAAGACTCTGCACATCTTTTGAATTAAGTGTGCAGCAGGTGTCGCTACCAAAATAAATACCTTATCATTGAAGTAGGCCTCAGGCCTAAGATTTTAACAGCAGAAGAACAAAAATGAGAAGGGAAAATGAAAATTCACAGGACCACCATGAAAGCCTTACATTTGCATATTACCCTTTTACTATATAGGATAGAGGCCTGGTGTAGGGGTGGGGGCCGGCTGATTTGCCCTGAATGCTGTCCCGGATCAGGGTGGGGGTCCCCACTGGGGTGCCTGGCCAGCCTGGATGAGGGGCTGATGGCTGTTTTCAGGCTGCCCGCACCCCCTCCGGGGGGGTGGGGGTCCCCACTGGGGTGCCTGGCCAGCCTGGATGAGGAGCTGAGGGCTGTTTTCAGGCTGCCCGCACCCCCTTCAGGGTAGGGGTCCCCATTGGGGTGCCTGGCCAGCCTGGATGAGGGGCTGAGGGCTGTTTTCAGGCTTCTTGTACCCCCTTTAGGGTAGGGGTCCCCACTGGAGTGCCTGGCCAGCCTGGATGAGGGGCTGCGGGCTGTTTTCAGGCTGCCCGCACTCCCTTTAGGGTGGGGGGTCCCCACTGGGGTACCTGGCCAGTCTGGATGAGGGGCTGAGGGCCATTTTCAGGCTGGCCAAGCCTGCAACTGAAGCTCCCAGTCTCTCCTTTTTTTCTTTTTTCTTTTTTTTAATTCTGGGATTTATTTACCTTCTGTAATTGAAACTTTGTTGCGGGTCCAGCTCTGAGCCCGGCTGGCTGAACGCAGGTATCTGGGGTTTGTTTAGCTTCTATAATTGCAACATTGTTGCATCCGGAGCTCAGAGCTGGGCCAAGCAGGCAGGGAACCTTGGCTTCCTCCATCGCCAGGGCAACTAAGCCTTATATTCACTTCAGCTGCGTGGCTGCCGGCCGCCATCTTGGTTGGCAGTTAATTTGCATATCACCCTGATTAGCCAATGAGAAGCGTAGTGGAGGTATGATTAATTACCATGTTTGTCTATTATTAGATAGGACTAGAGGCCCAGTGCACAAAAATTTGTGCACTCGGGGGGGGGGGGTCCCCTCAGCCTGGCCTGTGCCCTCTCGCAGTCTGGGACCCCTTAGGGGATGACCACTTGCTGGCTTAGGCCTGCTCCCCGGGGGATTGGGCCTAAGATGGCAATCAGACATCCCTCTGGCAGCCCAGCAGCCCTCGGGGGATGTCCATTTGGCAGCGGGGAGCAGGCCTAAACTGCAGTCGGACATCCTTAGCACTGATAAGGAGGCAGGAGAGGCTCCCACCACCACCGCTGTACTGGCAGCCATCAGCCTAGCTTGTGGCTGAGCAGAGCTCCCCATGTGAGAGTGCCCTGACCACCAGAAGGCAGCTCCTGCATTGAGTGTCTGCCCCCTGGTGGTCAGTGTGTGTCATAGTGGCCAGTCATTCCCAGTCTTTCTGCTGTTTGGGTCAGTTTGCTTATTACCCATTTACTATATAGGATAAAGACCTGGTGTAAGGGTGGGGGCCAGTTGGTTTGCCCTGAAGGGTGTCCCGGATCAGGGTGGGGGTCCCACTTGGGTGCCTGGCCAGCCTGGATGAGGGGATGATGGCTGTTTGCAGCTGGTTGCACCCCCTTCAGGGTGGGGGTCCCCACTGGGGTGCCTGGCTAGTCTGGGTGAGGGGCTGAGGGCCATTTTCAGGCTGGTGGGTGACTGAAGCTCCCAACCTCTAATTTTTTTCTTTTCTTTTTTTTTATTCTGGGATTTATTTACCTTCTATGGCTGTCACTGGAGCTGAGAGCCGGCTCCAGCTTGAGGCCTCAGCTGCTGAAAGCAGGTATCTGGGTTTGTTTAGCTTCTATAATTGAAACACTGTTGCAGCTCCAGCTCTGAGGTCAGGCTGGCTGAAAGCAGGTATCTGGGGTTTGTTTAGGTTCTATAATTGCAACATAGTTTCTTAAAGTGCAGCTCAGAGCCCGGCAGCAGCAGGCAGGGAATCTTGGCTTCCTCCATCGCCGGGGCAACCAAGCCTCCTGTTTGCTTCAGCTGCGTGGCTGCTGGCCACCATCTTGGTTGGCAGTTAATTTGCATATCGCCCTGAATAGCCAATGGGAAGCATGTCGGAGTTATGGTTAATTACCCTATTTGTCTATTATTAGATAGGATGGGAGACATGAACACAGTCATGAAAACCATGGCAGGAAGACCATTTCAGGAGCAGGTACCTTCCTTCAAGTGCAGTCTGTCCCTGCGCTGATGGGTAAGTATCTGCTCATGCACTTCTGTGTGCATTCGCTCAGCAACTACTAAGCTCATTATACATACAAAGCACTGCTGGTTTCCAGGAGGAAAAATGAATTGTTCTCCTCAAGCAGCACACGACCCAGCCCAGCAATTCACAGCTATGGAGGTTTGCCCCTGGGGACACTTGCAATGTCTGGAGATATATTGATATCACAACTGAGTAGGAGAGGCTGGGACTAGCACTGGGAGGTAGAGGCCAAGGATGCTGCGAAACATCCTGAAGGGCATGAGACAGCCCTCCCACCCTTGACAGAGAACGATCTGGTCCCAAGTGTGAGGATGAGAACCCCTGACCTACACTAAGAAACAGTACATGCACTCACACAACTAAAACCCCATTGCCTTCTGCAAACTGCATGTGGTGGCTTTGTAACTTGTCAACTTGGCTAAGCCAAACTCCAGTCCCCCAAGTCCCCTTTCCTCTGTTTCCTGCTGGGGTGCACCCTGAGAGTGGCTCTATGAGCTGTGGAGGCCAAGGGAAGCAGCAGCACCTCTGGCTCAGACAAGTGCTGCCCACATGCCACCTCCCTCAAGATGTTGGGCAGCAGGTGGTCCTACAGCCCTCGTCATCCCCAGCTCCCCCAGCTTCTCTAACTGCTGGGCCAGGGAGAGGTTGTGCAGCTCTGTGGCAAAGGTTTTCAGCTTCTTCAGGAGCCCTGCACCTCTGAAGCCACAGGCAGTAAGAACTGACATGGGTGTCAGTTCAGCTCATGCTTGTGGTTACAGCTTGCTCTTGCTCTCACACTTTACATGCACCTTCCGTGGCTGATGCCCACCCTGTAGACGTACAGCTCCAGCATCAGACAAGAAGACACATCTTTTAGAGAATGTGCAACTCATTCTTGCAATTACTAAGGGCAAGTCCTTGATATTTTTGTGTATACTAGAGGCCCAGTGCACAAATTCATGCATGGGTGGGGTCCCTCAACCTGGCCAGTGATCAAGGCCTATAGGAGGCTGGCCAGCTGGGGGAAGGACCCTAGGAGGTTGGCTGGCTGGCCCCCCCCGATCAGGGTCTATTGGGGGGCTGCCGGCCAGCAGGGGGGAGGGACTGCAGGAGGCTGTCCAGCTGGGGGCAGGACCAGGGTCTGTGGGAGGTTGGCCTGGTCTACAGGAGGTTGGCTGGGTAGGGGAGAGGGGTTGCAGGAGGTTGGCTAATGGGGGAGGGACCACAGGAGGTTGACTGGCCGGGAGGAAGGGCCATGGGAAGTTGGCTGTGGGAGCGCACTGACCACCAGGGGTCAGCTCCTGTGTTGAGCTTCTGTCCCCTGGTGGTCAGTGTGCATCATAGCGACTGGTTGACTGGTCATTCCGGTTGTTCTGATTGTTCTGGTCTTTCGGCTGTAACAATCGCTTGGGTATATATATATAGACTAGTGTCCTGGTGCACAGATTCGTGCACATTGAAAGGAAATTAGTTAGAAGGTGGCCAGCAAGACAGGACTGGGTGAGACTGGCCAGAAACGCCCTAGAGTCAACCTTCCATGGTCCCTCCCTGGCTGCTGCAACTAGGGCGGCGCTGGGGCTTGAAGGGCATATGGGGAGTGAGCAGGGTCCCTCTGGCAGGTGGGATCCCTTGGCTTGGTCTGCAGGGATTGAGCTGAAACTGGCTCTCCAACATCCCTGGAAGGGTCCCAGAGTGTGAGAGTTGTTGTCACTAGGCAGCTCCTGTGTTGAGTATCTGCCCCTTGGTGGTCAGTGCACATCATACCTAATGGCCGGTCGGATGGTTGCTTAGCCTTTTATATATATAGATTTGATCTCTGATTTAAACCTTAGTGATATGTTGTGTATAGATCAGGGTCAGCTTATTATCATTTCTAACACAGAACAAGAGAATTTTTAAAAAATATATGTTTTATTGATTTTTTTTATAGAGAGGAAGGGAGAGAGATAGAGAGTTAGAAACATTGATGAGAGAGAAACATCAATCAGCTGCCTCATGCACAGCCCCCACTGGGGATGTGCCCGCAACCAAGGTATATGCCCTTGACTGGAATCGAACCTGGGACCCTTCAGTCTGCATGCTGACGCTCTATCCACTGAGCCAACCGGCTAGGGCAGACCAAGAGAATTTTATAGAACGGCAGATTATTTTTTCTCCTTGGAGTACAATCAGTGGTCCTTTCCCATAAATTGTTCTAAACCCTTATTTCTCCTCTTTGTCTTCTACCTCTGTCACTTCTTCCCTCTTCTTACTTTTGTCCCATCTCACCTTTTAGATGAATAAACTCCATGGATTACAATATGTGTAGGTGTGTGCCAAGACAGTTACCCTGGGTTTGTGTGTACTTCACATGTGTTTTGCCTGAGGCCAAAACAAAGTCCTCAGTCATATCCTGCCACCACCTGGGTCTTAGTCCATTAAAGAGGTATGATGTGATAATTGGGATGATCCCATTTGGTTGGGATGGTCCACCTAACCATTGGTGTTCAGGTTTGTTTGGGGGTTTTGGTCCCCCACTGGAGATCTCCAGAGTCCTAGTGTCTTCCTTAAGCTGTTCAGAGCAGAGCTGTCCTCATTCCTGGGCAGACACCTACCAGGTAGGCCTTTGGCCTTATGCTCATAGACTCAGTAGGACTGAGGCAGAGGGAGAGTTCCACAAACGGCCCAGGTTAACGCCCAGTGCCATGTGCTCAGAGTCGGGAACCACATGCAGTTGTAGGAAACACAGTTTAAACTTCTATACTCATGGGCCTGTCATGGATCCATGAGCTCATGTCAGTCCCTCAGTTCAATTTGTAGCTCAGATGCCCACTTCCTACTTTTTTTTCCTGGCTCAGTATGGAAATCTTCTTACAGTTTATTTCAGGGCCAGGAGCACTACCTTACTCAGCCTGAGGGTGTAGGAGAAATGGCGTGGGCTCTGGGCACCTCCACTGACACAGCGCATCTATGGATTGCCTACTATGTGCTAGGTTCCTTGTTAGGCACTGGGGTGTAGCCTCGGATGAGATACTGTCCTTTCCTTTGTGCTTTTGTACTCCAAAATGTAGAGACACAAATCACGTACTCAAGAAAGCAATACCAAGTTAGGAACTCACATAAGGAAAATTTCTGGACAATTTTATTACCAACCTTGGTGTGTGTGTGTGTGTGTGTGTGTGTGTGTGTGTGTGTGTGTGTGTATGGGAGGATCTGCAAAGGAAGGGCCCATTCAACCTTACCCTTTGTTTCCTGTCTCTTCCTTCCAAGTCCTCTTATCCATGGCAAGCTATTTTTCCCAATTTTATAGTAATTGCATTTGGAAAATGGCTTTTGTGTAAACATTTATCAAAGTAGTGTGTCACTTCTTTAATTATAAAATAATGAAACTGTATTTGGTGATGAATACAAACCTTCATTTCTAAAATGTGTTTCAATGAAAAGCCCTAAATAAGGAAGTGATGCCTCATCCACATTCTTATTTCCTCAACAAAGAACTTAGGTTGATGAGTCAGTCCCAATGCTCTGCTGTCTCTGAACTTCTGGCACATAGTTACCAGTGTGACCCTTTAGGATTCGGCATATACTACCTTGGGTTAACAGTGATCTGTAGAGTGTGAGCTCCCAGTGGGGTCTGACTCCTTTTCATCCTTGGTGCCTGCCAGTCTGTGGTCTAGTCAATGGTTGCTCACAGTGGCTAGTTTTTAGTTTTTAAAACTCAGCAGCTTTAAAAAGTAAGTAACACCAGAGATAGACATCCATGCCTCATGCCTGAGATTTCAGATGCAGTAGGTCTATGCTGGGGCTCAGGAATCATAATTTTAGAACATTTCCTGGGTGATTGTGATGATTGGCCACATTTGAGAACAAGAGGTCTTAACGCATTTGAAACTGTGTGTGTGTGTGTGTGTGTGTGTATGTGTGTGTGTGTGTATTTATAGGTCCCTCAAGGAGACCGTAATGCGTAACTGCCTGCCTTTCCTCCTTCTTCCTGTTGAGTGCCAGATTCGACCTCTGATCTCAGAGATCTCATTATAGTGAGGGCAAAATCAAAAGATGTGTAACTCCTCGAGTCTTCAGTGGTGATTCCCCCAGTGGCCAACACTCAGGGGTGATTGGTAACTGCTTTGTTAATGGCTAAAAGAAGCCCCATTGTCAGTGTGCCTATGAGCTTGGCAGGTGCAGAGGTGAGACTTGCTGGCTTGTAACTCCCTCTGAGGTCCTCACTGTGCACAAGCCATGTGGACAATCGCACAGGCCTCCCGGTTTCATCCTTGGGACTTCGACATTTCTTAACCGTCCTTTTACAGATGAGGAAACTGAGACTTAGAAAGTAACTTTCACAGGATTCCAAGCTAGTATATGATGCAGTTGAAGTTTGAACTTAAATCAACACAATGGATTTAACTGTATATTAGTGCCTGACCCATAAAACTAAAGTCTTAGTGTCATAACACATAGAATTAATAATATCTATTATCTTAACCCTGGGCCATTGGCTGACAAGTTATTTAAAAAAAATCAACTTTTAAAACATATTTTTTGTTTGATTAAAGGAAGCAACCTTTTGCCCCTCCTTCCCGAAACACTCACCATCTTTATTATCTTACCACTGAATTAGTATTTTAATGTAATATTTATAAGGAAACGCTTATTCAAATGAGCAGTTACAATTAGTTCAAACAAGTTAGCCAAAGGACAGCAATTAAAATTATTTTTGACAGGTCAGTCAGTCATTCTTTTTTTCCAGAAATCCTGACAACAAAATTGGTCTTCGTTGCTCATTTTAAAGTGATTTTATCCTTTCAATTATGTTAAACTTCCAATAAACATAAACACCCATATATACAAAGAAGCAGTGTGGTAGTACAGGTGACATCCATTTTTCATTCTTGAAGAAAAAGTTGTGAAAAATTAGCTTTTTACCAACTCTTCCATTCTAAAGGGAAGCTAATTTGAAAGATTTATAAATCTAACTTATGTGGGCAATCTGTTTTTTTATTCAAAGTTAACATAAAGCGCCAAGTTGAGCTAAGATGGAAACAGACAACCCCAAAGAGAGATTATTTTGAATGTCTTCTCACATGCCATTGAGTTAACAGAAAGTCATCACAGAGGTTTAAACTGGTCCATCTCTCTAGAAGGTAGAAAAAGTTAATTAAGTATGACATCATTTTTTTGGCTTACTTCTCCCCTTTCCCTCCATTCTCTGTCACCTCTTCTGTGATTACTCCTGCCCCTCATTGGTTACTTATTGGATATTTATATTCTATTCTGACTTTGTTTCAGAGCTTTATTTAATCTTTTGACTGTGTTTAGGTTATAGGAGTTGAAGCTTCATTTTATTTTGCATCAGTTATTATTAAAAACAACTTCTATAAGAAGCACAGAGAGTTCAAGTGATGCCTCTAAAGCCACAGCTAAGTAGCCAGGATTTGAACCCAGGGAGGCTGAACTCAGAGATTGTGTTCCTTTTCTGGAAGCTATGCTGCCTCACTGATTTTCATGCTGTTAGTAAATAACAATCAGTGCAATTTACCGAGCCTTTTAACTGTTCAAATGAATGTGTATTAATTACCCCATATTAGACGCTCAGTCAACAACTTTGCGAAGTTAGTCTAACAATCACGTTTTACAAAGAAACAGATGAGGGCAACTGACTTGGCCAAGACTGCCTAGCTGTCACTCATCCCAGGCCATGGCTTGGATTTTAAAGCACATTTTTATTTCTTGCCTCTTTCGAGGATTGTGCCAGACTCAGGAACCTCTCATAAATATTTTCTGCCTGGATGAATGAATCTACTCTGCTCACTTTCTGTAGAAGTTCAGTAAAGGTGGTTGCGATAACTATGGCTCTGAGAAGTTAGGCAGCTTGTGTGGGTAATTCAGCTATTAAATAACTGTTGAGAGAGCCCACATCTTTCTGTCTTTCTGTCTTTCCTCAGCGACCTACTGGGGGGTGGGGGGTAATGCTGACCTGCTCTCTGAGAGGCAAATTGGCAACTAGAGAGGAATCCTCACCAGACTGAGTTTAACGTGCACCAAAATATTTAGTAATGAAGTTCCACAATGTCTACAAAATACTTTCCAGTGGTTAAAAAAGAGAGAGTGAGCCAAAATTGAACAACTTGTATACCCAGGTGAAAAAGATCAGGTGTATATTGCAGTATTCTTCTGAAATTTATATAGATTTGAAGTTTTCCAAATAAAAAGATGAAGAAGGAAGGAAGGAAATAAGGGAAGAAGGAAAGGAGAAAGGGTGGGAGGGAATTTCAACAGGGTTCATTCACCATCTACTGCCTTTTGCCTATCAATGATTTATTCATTAAAATTTCAAAAATATGATATTTGAGTAAATGACACTCACTGAAAAGAGTCAATGTACTGACATTTATGGGTATGTGGTTATATTTACAGATAATCCTCAGATTTAGTAAACTACTATCTTGTATTCAAAGAGCAGTTGTATTTTCAATAAGTCTTGCAATAAAAATTTTCTACCTAACTATAAAGTGTGAAAGCAGGCAAATAAATAATATTGGTGTTTGAAATAAAATTTCTGATTCAGAAAGCAAGAATTCATTTAGGAGGAATCACAAGATTCAAGTGCTCAATATTCTCACTGCTATCATAAAAATAATTTTGATGAATAACTGGTAGTTTTCTCTCCAATTGTGTTTATTGACAAAAAAAATTAAATACAACACAATAGAATTGAAAATTTATAGAAAAAAAATCAATATCCAGTAAAATTTACTTATAATATATGCATTTTACAGTAGATTTCTGGAACTTTTTGTTTACTCTTTTATATTTTAAAATATATAATGGTTAGATATTAAATTATATAAAGTAGGAAGAAGAACAAAAATAAAAGCCTTCTTACCCACAAGCAACTATTATTTAACACTTTAGTTGGATTTCCTTTAGGTCTTTTTTATTTAAAGTATTGTTTTTTTCTTATTTACATACTTTTATATCCTGCATACATCTATTTTGTATTTTGCTCTTTTTAAATAACACTATCTCATAAACATTAGTGATAAGTTTTGATAAAATCCTTTCAAGGTAAGGGAAATAAAAACAATAAAAAAGAAACTCTGGGAGGATATATGAGAAATTAGGTAACATTTTCTGGGTGAAGAACTGGGGGAACTGGGGGAAGAGAAGACAAGGGCAGGATGCAGCCTTCCCAATGGAATACCTCTCTATATAGCTGTATGTGTCACACACACACACACACACACACACACACACACACACACACACAACTTTTGACTTACAGACATATAATGCTTGCTAAATATTTATTTATTTATTTATTTATTTATTTATTTATTTATTTTAATTTTGTTTTATTTCTTAAAGTATTACAAAGAGTATTACATATGTCTCCTTTTTTACCCCCCTTGACATTCCCCTGGCCTCCCCTACCCCCCAGTGTCTTGTGTCCATTGGTTATGCTTATATGCATGCATACAAGACCTTCGGTTGATCTCTTACCCCCCGCCCCAACCCTCCCCAGGCTTCCCACTGTAGTTTGACAGTCTGTTCGATGCTGCTCTGCCTCTGTATCTATTTTTGTTCATCAGTTTATAAAGGTCTTTATTATCCATAAATGAGTGAGATCATGTGGTATTTTTCTCGGCTTCCCAGGGGCCGGCGCAGCCTCACAGAGGCCGTCTCAGCCTTGCAGGGGGCGCCGCATCCCACGTTGGGGGTGAAGGTGCGAGTCAGAAGCTCCTCTCACTGTCTCTCCTGCTGCTCCCTTGTGTATCGTAGATGCTGGAAGTTTCTGAGAGCAGTCTGCAGGTGCTGGAGATCATACTTTAACTGGTCAACATGAAGTTTGGCATTCTGTCTTTTGTTGGGCGGCTCCTTGCTAGACAAAATCTCCAGGCGTTCTTGGTGGCTGAATATCTGGTATGCTTGCTTGGATTTTGTTTTTAACTAAGTGCACAGACTGCTTGTCTGCCCTCTCCCAGCGTCCCATGTGAGACTGGATCTGGTGGACCTGCTTGTGCATTTGCTGGTACAGTGGTTCCATGTCACCGGCCCAGCTGGGTCCGGCTCTGGCTTCCTCCGAACCTGATTCTGCTTCTTGAGTGTGTCCCTTATGTATGCAAGGAGTTGAAATCTACAGTTTGTTGGGTTAAGCTGCAAATGCGCAGGTGGTTCCTTTTGTGCCACTGGCACAGCTTGGGTGGGGATGTAAATTGAGTAGGGTGGGGTCTCCCGGAATCACCAGGGCGGAGCAAAGAGTAATGGCATCTCCAGGACTCCTCGCCTCTCCGTGACTCCTCGTCTCAGCGTCCCTGAGTGCTGGCGAGCAGCTCTGCAAGAAAGCCACCCTCGCTCTCCGACCCGCTGCAAGGCCGTCCCACCTCTCCCCGTATAGGTCTGGGACCTCAAAATCCCGCCCCAAACAAGCTCAGTGGATTTGAGAGTTTGTAACCCCTTCTGATTGAAAAAAAACACGCATCCAGTTGCAGACCACCTGGCGGGACTCCGTACCTCTGTTCTTGGTGCCTCTGCACATCCTACTCAGTCTCAATGCTCTTCTTCTTTCCTTCCAGTTGTAGAGCTTCCACTGGGCCAGCTTTCCCATGGTTCTGAATGATAGCTGTTTGTCTTATAGTTGGCAGTTTCAGTGTTGTTGTGGGAGGCAGCACGCACAGGGCTGTACCTTATGCCGCCATCTTGGTTCTCCGCTTGCTAAATATTTAAAGAAAATTATTTGAATCATTTAAAATTAGGGAATTATTTTTACAATATTATGTTAAGTAGATAGACGTGTATTTACTTTATTTGCACAATTTCCAATTAGAGGACCATGTTGTTTATGCCCTCCCCACCTCCCCCCGACCCCCTACACAAATCTGAGTATTTAAATAGCTTTGTCTGATCTGGTTTGGTCATTAGTTGAAATTAATGCATTATCTTACTTCCCATAGGTTTATTTTTATTTTTATATCCTTGCTGATAACTTACCATCAATTTTGAGACTAAACTTTTTGTACTTTTCCTTTCCCCCCACTTTAGGAATATTTCTCTCTTTTATATCAGATATCTCATCAAAATGTAGTTGTTTATTTTTAATTGGTATGTTCTGTTCTTTTACAGAGAAAATAAAATATCTTGAAGCGTGTTCTGCATACTACTTGGCAACTTTAGCCCACTCTGTAGCTCTAGTTAGAAAATGCGGAGGACATTTTGGGCCAGGCTGTGATGCGCTACAGTGACACATGCCCACTTCTTGGGGACTTTCACATGACATCACTGCACATTTATCAATGCATACCCAGTCCTTTGCCTCCAGGACTGAGTGTGAAGCTAAAAATTTGGGTCAACTTGAGCCTGGAAATGTTAACATGCACAGAGGACAGAGTTTCTGGGTTCCAGCAACACAATGTCACTGTTCCCTGGGTTGACAGAGGGGGCTGCCAGACTGTCCAGCCTGGCTGTGGCTTTCTGTAACTGCAACCCTCTCCACCCTGTCATTCCACTAGTGCTGGAGGCCAGCCTTGGCTTCCCATCCTGAGGAGTAAGGACAAAGACCTCAACTTACCCTGCAGCAGCCACAACACCGGCAATCTCCACACAGGGTCCCCAGGAGGCCGTTAACCACCTGGATGGTGCAGAGAAGCATCTGGAACACTGCTATGATGAGCAGGATGGAGAAGAGGGTCAGATTCCAGGACACCACATTTTCGGGCTCCCTGCACTTGCTCCATAAGGCTTTGTCATTGAGGTGATCCCTGTCAGAGGCATGGGAAAGAAAGGAAACAGCTGTAAAATGTAGGCAATACCTAGACTAGAAAGACACAATAATAATTTTTCTTTTGAAATATTTTCATCCAAAAACATAAGTGCCATAAGAAAAATATCCTATAATATCAATACTTTTACAACAATACCTAACATGTCTATAGACTATATACTATGTGTAAGATCCTGTTCCAAACATTTTAAACTATTAACTATTTTATTTCTTTTTAAAAAATTTAAAAAATATGTTTTTATTGATTTCAGAGATGAAGGGAAAGGGAGAGAGAGAAGGAAACATCAATGATGAGAGAGAATCATTGATTGGTTGACTCCTGCATGCCCACATTGGGGATTGAGCCGCAACACAGGCATGTCCCCTGACTGGGAAACAAACCGTGACCTCCTGATTTATAGGTCAATGATCAACAACTGAGCTACCCATAACTATTTTATTTCTTATAGAAGTCTTATGATTCTTTTATTTTATTTTACAAATAAAGACATTGAGGCACAGAGAGGTTAAGTGATTTCCCATAGGTCATAGAGCTCAGTGACAGAGTGACTTTTGTGAGCTGACTGAGAGGATGGGTAAATTCAGTATCTACTGGGGAGCCAGGAAAATGAAGACACTCCAGGAAAAGAATCTCACCACCTGGGCTTGGTTCCACCTACTGTTATTTGGGACCACTTGGACATTTGACACAATTCTGCCACGTCTAGTGGCCATCTGAAGTCATGTAAAGTATAATCGTGTCACATAGTTAAAGGGGAGAGCTTGTCTTTTTTAAAGGCCTAATGCTAAGCAAATTGTAAATTTGACTCAAGTATATTTTTGTCAACATGTGGGAATTCCACTTGCAAAAAGATTTAATTAACTAGAAGCACTAAGTAATCTGCTGCCTTAATATGTATCTTATAAAAACTTGGAAATAGGAGAACTGCAATACATTTACAAACTGTATATTAGGAGTCCACTGTGTGACAATGCACGTCGTGCATGAAGGAGGAAAGTGAAGCACGCTGTCTTCAACGCCAACCACAGGAAAACAGTCAGTCCTTTGGGTCATTACCCTTCCTCTCACATTCTCAGAGCCACAGATTGGTCTCCCCGTCTTCCTTTATGGCTCCTCTATCCTCCCAAGGCCTCAATGGGAAACTCCATCTGCATGTGGCTACTAAGTCAACACCCACCTTATTGTTTTTAGACCTTTTTGACATGATGAATCTTTTAGTAATCAGTACAAACTTATTTAATACATTCTGTGTAAAAACTTGAAAAACGTTTGCAATGATGGACGGATGGAAGATACTTTGGCATTTAACAGTCGAAAGGACAAAGGAAAGGGCATTTGCTCTTGCTTTAAAAATAAAACATTGTTCATAGCATCGATGGACCTTTCCATAAGAGCACATGTTCTAGCTGCTCACTAGCTGTGTGACTTATCTGTAAAATGGGAACATTATCTATGAAATCGTAGAATTATTGTGATTAAATGACTTAATACTAGGCTTGATACTAGTAGAGTGCTTAGGACAGTGTCTGGCATATGTTACGTCTCAATAAATGCTAGTGTTATTTCACTTAATCTGAGCTGTCTGGTCTAAAGGAAAGAGTCTGGTATTTTGGATTTCAATGGACTTGAGTTTGAATACAAGCATTCCTCTTACTAGGGTGTATTCCTCACACAAGTTACATATCCCTTTCCCAGCAGCAGTACCAGTTTCTTTATCTATAAAAGAGGCTAAAAGCAACCTCTCAGTTGTGGGAAGTCACTGAGATAATACACCATACGTATTGTTGTGTAAGACTTCTTTTCAGTACTTATTATTTTTAAACACACGTCTTTCTGTTCTGCATTTTTCCATGTAGTCCTATCCCTCTTTACAGTTTTTAAACTTGATGACGATAGGAAGTTACAGGGAGACAATATTTTCCAGGCACGTTTGGTAAAGAGAAGACCCTGAAATAAAGTGATTGGCAGTCCTGAGTTCTTCCCTCTTCTGAAGGTGTGTGCAGTGGGCACACTCACACCCTGCTTGTGAGGTGATGGTCCCATACCCAGCTCTCATGAACTCACTTTAGTCAGCGTTTCTCAACCTGTGGGTCGCAAGCCCTTTGGCGATCGAACGACCCTTTCACAGGGGCCACCTAAGACCATCCTGCATATCAGATATTTACATAAGGATTCCTAACAGTAGCAACATTACAGTTATGAAGTAGCAACGAAAATAATTTTATGGTTGGGTCACAACATGAGGAACTGTATTTAAAGGGCCAGAAGGTTGAGAACCACTGCTTTAGAGAGTGGAAAAGTCCTTTTTTAAAAGTTTTGCTATAGGTAACTGTGCCTTTAGCACCTCCTGGTGGTGAGATCAGCTCACCGGGGAACTTGGAAACAAGGATTGAGTTTGGTGCCTGGAACAGTCCTCTCAGTCCCATTCACAAACCACCTCAGATGCTGGTCCAGGCACTTCTCCCATCCCCCAAACTCCCAGGTTCTGAGACTCTCAGAGATGCCAGCAATGATTGCTGTGCCCAACTCTCCAACCTCATATTCCTTGGACCTGGGGGCTAATAATGTTTCCACACTCTGTGAAGCAAGGGGAGCTGAGGCAGTGTACAGCCAGTTTACTGAGCTGGAGTTTTACAGCATCCTGCTCTTGGGAAGGGCATTCCCATGGAGCAGCAGTAATCCATCAACATCGCAATGGAGCGTCAAGAAGTTCATGCAACTCACTTCTTGCAGCTGAAAGAAGGGCAGGGGAGCCCCACTGCTTTGCTGGCCACTCTGCCTGGCTTTGGTCCCCTTCGGTGCTTCCCAGCATTCTGTGTCGTAGTCTGGCGATTTGTCTGTCTTCTATTCAGATTGTACACTCACAAGGACAGAGACCATGTCCTCTGTGTCTATCCCAGTTCCAGCACAGGGAATTTCCATAAGTGATAGCAGCTTGCACCTACTGCGCCCTGCCTGTGTTCCAGGGCCTGGGCCAGCTGCTTTACATCTCCTTCCCAGCCCTAACAGGACATGCTGCTCTCCTTGAACAAGACCTGCCATAGAGTCACCTTTAGGAAATAGTCACTGAATGAATGGACGTACACCCACCCACAGATTAAAAAGTTGAGGCTAGAAATGTAAGTGCCTGGATTTGATCTGAGCTCTGTCTGACTTCAAAGCCAATGCTCTTAACCATTACACAAATCCCTCTGTTTAAGAAAGTATACCTCCTTGGGCTATTTGAAATATGATTGATAAAATACATAAATACCTCCATAATAGTGTGCCAATCAGGGTTTATGTATACCATGATAAAGAGGTTATTCTCTTTGAATCTTCGTTTGACTGCTATAAAAGATTCAAATTAAGTCACAAATTATAAAAGCATACATTTTAGAAAGTTGTAATGCATAATAATAAATTCCCCTTGTAGCAGTGAGTCATATGCATAAAAATCCTATCTAATAAAGAGGGAATATGCTAATTGATGGTCATGCCCTCACAAAGATGGTGGCACCCACAGCCAATAAAGAGGGAATGTGCTAATTGACCATCATGCCCTCACAAGATGGCGGTGCCCACAGCCACAAGATGGTGGCGCTCAGTTCCCTCAGCCCCTCCAGAGGGCAGCAGGCACTGAGCGCCTCATCCAGTCAGAGTCCCCCAGTCCCCTCAGCTCTGCCTCATCCAGCCTCAGTCCTCCAGTCCTCTCAGTCCCGTCTCATCCAGTCCCTGCAGCATCCAGCCTCATCCAACCTCAGTCCCCCAGTCCCCTCAGTCCCACCTCATCTAGCTGGAGTCCCCCAGTCCCCTCAGCTCCACAGAAGAAGGCAGTTGGGGGTGATCGGGCCCTTAGGGGAGGGCAGTTGGGGACAATCATGCTGGCAGGGGAGCACTTAGGTGTCAATCAGGCCGGCAGAGGAGCGGTTAGGGGGCTATCAGGCTGGAATGCAGAGTGGTTAGGGGCAATCAGGCAGACAGGCAGGTGAGTGGTTAGGAGCCAGCAGTCCCATATTGTGAGAGGGATGTCTGACTGCCGGTTTAGGCCCAACCCTTGGGACATCCTCTGAGGGGTCCCAGATTGGAGAGGGTGCAGGTTGAGCTTAGGGCCCCCCCCCCCCCGCAAGAATTTTGTGCACCAGGCCTCTAGTGAATAATAAGGCTGAAAGTATAGCAAGCACTATGTGGCAGTAGTTGTGCCAAGTGCTTTATGTACATTCTGTTATTTTATTCTTGCCTGAACCTGTGAAGTAGAGCTTCCTATTATCCCTTTTCACAGAGAAAGAGCTGAGACATGAATTTATCACCCAAGATCACATCATTGGTATGTGCCGAGGTATGACTGGACCCTAAGTCTGGTCAGGCCAAGAGCAAAGCCAGTTCTTAACATCAGTGTGTTTCTTGCTTCCTGAGAACTGGGAACAAGCCATGCTATCCCATCTCACACTACTGATGTGATGTAGCTCTCAGCTCTAGGGAATGTGTTCACAAGCACTTTATGGGCTTCCTTGCTAATAAGTAATCTTTGAAGTGCAAATGCAGACAGTCTTAACTGGAAGTCCAGGCAGATCATTTAATTGAATTCAGTTCTGTGTCTTGGTGGGAGGTTTGCAGTCTGGGCAAGGAGTGCTGTGCTTGCCTATGTTCCTTTTCCCTCCCCCACTGCTGAATGTCCTCAGCCTTTCCTCTGATTTTCCCTCCCACAGCTGTCCCCATGCCCTGTGCAAGCAGCTCAGGGTCAAGGAAGAGGTGGCCAATTGTCTCAGAAAGGAAGACTTTGGATGGGAGGAGATCTTACTTCAAAGGAGGCCAAGAGGGCATATATCAAAGTGTCCCAGTTTTCTTTCCCTTCTTTGGGATGCTTCCTTAGTATGGTTCTCATGACAGAAAAAGTTAACTGTCTTTGCTCCTTTAACATGATTACCAACAAACGTTTCTGAGGAAAGCAGTGGGAAATTCTACATCACTGAAGATTTTGTGCCCCAAGCTGGAAA